GATGGTATTTTCAAATCATCAAATGATCAGTCCGGCATGGGACATGGTGTTTGATGATACTGCATAGCTTAGTCACTGATACTGTACTGTCATGAATTTATCACCACACAAATATTCCCACTGAAAGCAATATCCTTAAAGGTATATTTGGTGCAACATCTTGGATGTAGAAACAGTGCCATCACGATTTACATTTAGTTCAGTCAATAACACAACTTAATGAAGAAAAAGATGGATTCGTGCAGCTACCTTTACGGCTTACTCACGTTGAGCTCATCCTCAACAAAAGGACGTGTTTTTACCAGCCATGGAAACTAAATTCATGTTCAGAGCATGGAAACTAAAGGTTTGTAACGCCAACAGTTGGAATTTTGGAAGCTCTGGTGTTTTCGTTTATAGATTTAGGCAGCTCTGCCTTTTCCCATAATCAGTAAAGATATTAGGTGATCCTATTGATGGGTGTACTTTATTTGAACAGCGTTATCCAAACAAAAGGAGGGTTTCTGTATAAACTCAACGAACAAAACCGAGAGATGCTGGCAATGATATAATTCAAAGGGGAAAAACATAGAAATGTTGGGAGCAAGGTCGAAGATGATTTCATTGGAAATTTCACTAGTTTTTAGGCTGTGTTTATTTCTGGAAAATGATTTTTTGAAATAATTTTTAAATTTTTTTTGTGTTTATTTATTATTAAAAAAATTAATTAATTAAAAACACTTTTTAATAAAAAAAATTAGTCTGATTTCTAGAAAAGTATCTTTTTAAAATATTTAGTCGGAAAATACTTTTTAAAAGTTGTAAAAAAATTTAAAAATATCATATTATTTACTAATTATATCACATTTAATCTTTAAATTTTTAATTGATATATATATATTATTTTAAATATTTATTTTATAATTTCATCATTTAAAATTTAATTTTGATATTAACTTTTATTTTTATTTTTATAATTATTATTTATTTTTTTTTAATTTTTATATTGAAATTTTTTATTTTATTTAAAATAATTTATAAAATATTAATTATTATTATTTTAATTTCTTCACCTTTTAATTTTTAATTTTTTAGATTTAATTTCTATTATTTTAATTATTATTTATTTTATTTAAAATAATTTATATAATTATTTTTCAGCTTATTTTTTTATAACATAACTAAACATTAAAAAATATTTTTTAATTTAATTTTCATTACCCTAGCATATACAAATAACTCATTTTCCTATAACTTACCTTTTTTTTTAAATTCACTTTTTAAAAAACACCTACTTTTCAGCGAAGACACAAGCCCATACAATTCAAGAACCTATCAACTGCATGATATAGCAAGCCTGCCAAATGGTCAATATCCATAAATGATCCAGTTACCTAAGCTACAGACAATGATTGGTTTACATCAACTCAGCTCGAGCGAAAAGGAGAGAGGGGAGACATTCTGACAAATTCCAAAACATAGTTCGGTGCAATTAATCATGTTTACTCTCACCACAGTACAGATGACAAATAACAATAAATATGCGTCTCTTCGAGCTAAACTATTTAACAGCTCTACCCTATCTCATGCAGAAGCAGAAACAGAAACAGGTGCAGGCTAGCATGTCAAGGCGAATTCTTGCAAGTTATTTCAGAGTAACGGCTGCATTTCTCAATGCAAGATACCTTTGCACATGCTCATTTGGAAGTGATCTCACGAGTTTGAAGACATCAGTATTTGCATAACGGAGGTTGGTCCTTGGATCATGGTAAGGTGCCTGCAGAAGAAGTTCGCTATGTGTAAGAGGGTCTGTAAAGAGATTGGTATACTATTCGATATTGTTTCAGATAGTATTCAAGATAGTAGGAGTTAATCATTGCATGTTCAATCTGTATTTCATGGGATGAATGGAATTGATAGCATATGGTGTCGAAGTGTCAAGCTACTCAAGAACAGAGGATGGCTAGGCTTTTTACCTTTTAATTTCGTATATCAACACAAACATTTAACAAGGTCAGCACAATCTTGAACGCCATGCTCAATCCTGAACAATCTAAACTTCAGCACCATGGCTTCTTCCAGCTAAACAAAAGCAGATGTATTAGGAATCCAGTTGGAGGGCATCCCAGGGCACCTTCAAAGATGCGTACCAGGACATAACAGGGCACATTTGCTTCATCAAAGTTGCAAGATTACATGTTAAATCTGGTCAAACAAATTTATCTTTGAATTTTTCCCCACCCACTAACTTACAGTTTCCACATTTCTAACAAGCAATAGAGTACTAGGATGTAATTCATCCTCAGAAATATTGCTACAACAGATCAGCCAAGAATTAGGCAAGTCAATGTATCCAAATTAAACAACTTGTAATTGCCAAGCAGGAAACAGGAACCAGTTCTTAGCTTGAGTTATGTAATGGTTGGAACTCTACCTCCATCCTCAATTTCATCAAGACAATAAGCTTGTACAGATGTAAACAAGCTCAAGCTCAACCAAATTATATGTGATGAGCTCAAAAACTAAGAGACGGAGTAGCTCAACTGACGAACGGAGTAGCTCAACCAAATTATGGCAATGCATAATATGCAGAATGATGAACAGCTCATAATAATCTTCTCACTCTAAAAGAAAGTTCATGAGGTACTTGGACGATGCAAATTGATCGGAAAGCCTCCTTCAAGTTACAGGATTATATTTAGGCTAGAAGAAGCCAAACAAATCTAGCCTTCAATTGCTTTTTCTCAACCAATAGTTTGTAGTGTCCAAATTTGAACTGGCAACAGTACAACTAAGTTATTTATCCACAGCAACCAATAAGTTCATGATATTCAAAACCAAAAAAAGATTCACCATGCAACTAACAGGAAAAAAATGCCATGGCCAATGAAGTCAAGTAAAAGAAAGCAGTGCTCTATTTAATTCTGGAATTTTTGAAACTTTAATCCTCAATTCCACTGAACAAGCTAAAGAACATTTGGAACTTTAATCCTAATCCTCAATGACAGCAGGTGTATCTTAGCTGAACTAGCAGGCAAGGAATAAAATACAGATTATCATTAACAGCTGATGATTCTCTCTCAATTTGAGACCACCAAATATTCAACAAGCAAGGTTTTGACACTCAAAATAAAAAGGACTTCAGAAGGATATGAATCAACAGATGAAAATAACCAGTGATGACACTCAAAGATATTTCTAAATTTACCAGACATTTCTAAATTTTGATCCATTAAAATTTACAGTGTGATTGCGGTTTTTTTTCAAATAACTTTTCATGCCGAAATGCATGCCAATAATGTTTTTTTATTTTTTTTAAATTTTTTTTGACATCAGCACATCAAAATAATTCAAAATATATTAAATTTTAGCAATTTTTTTTTTTTTAAATTTTTTGGGAACGCAGTTTGCACTGTGTTCCCAAATGGTGCCTAATGCCAGTGATTGACTCATTCATTCACGATCTGATTTATATGAAATTTTCAAGTTGGCCACATTATTCGCAAATGAGCTAGAAATAATGATGAATTTCATCTGCCAGTTCAAGCACTAAACACATCTCAACAGAAACACATACCTCGAATCCTGTAATATCGCATATTCTCAAAGGTGGGTGCATGGAGGGTGGTGACTCAATATTAACATCTGTAAGAGGGGGGGAAAACAGCAAAGGTAATTTAACCTCTTATCAAGCCTAACCTAATATCAATACAAATACAAAAACCTTGAAAAAAGAAAAATTAAAAAACAACCATCTGCAGAAAAATATTAAAACATCCAACTTAAACCATGCAATTAATTTGTTGAACAACAGGCAGAACACAAGAATCCTCTATAAAGCCCTCCGGTGCTACCATTGTACTAAATAATCACCATTACATTTTCCGTTCAGATTTCACCATTTGTGGACCCAAACACACAAATACTGAAGTAATGGAATGCTAATGCAGTAATGGTTTCCCTTTCTTCATCCACAAATATCACCAAAGGATAACTTTTTCAACTATAAATCAAACAAATCACAACCAGACTTCAAATTAAAGTAAAAAAAAAGAAGAGAAGCTAGGAAATGGCAGAGGTTGTTCTTCAAAGAGGAGCTTACAGTTGGGTTCATCAGGGGGGCAATTCTGATAATTTTCAGCTTGAAGAATCTGCTTAAGGTGTTTCCAACGGCCTCTTGGTTGTCCCTTTGGGTATTTCTCATATATCTGTATCCTCTTGAAACTGAAGTGTGTTGGCAACACCAGCTCTGCATTTATTAACTCTGCTTCCATCTTCTTCCTCTTCTATATCTAAAAAGCAAAAATACCACTCAATTCAATGATTTATCCCTTATAGATCAAATTTAAAAGAATAGAAACTATATAAAAAAGAGTAAAAATTTAAAGATAAGAAATGTAATCTAAGACTATAAATATAAAAAATTGGAAAAAAAAATAAAAACCCAGGAATTTCATCCGAAACCCTAGAAAAAAAAAGGGCAAACGAACCTCTCAGTTCAGAATCCCCTGTTGCTCGAACTCGGCACAACAGTGAACGGACAGATAATCTCCACTTTATATTTTCATAGAAAAGCTCAATTTAGTAACCGACGATGAACTGATTTTCGATTTAGATCCCAAACTATCAATGCTTTCAATTAGGTCCCTAATGCAACAGCAAAGTGTCGAATTTTGCTTAAAGCAGGGTTATTTTATCACACGACTAGTTAGATTTCCAAGGCAGATTTATTGAGTTCCACCTTTCCTTAATTTTAATTTTAATTACTTGAGTTTTCGTTTAAAAATATTTAAGATCTAGTGAGAGGGCTACAAAATCAAGCCCAAATAGGAGGACTAAAAGAAAGCCCAACCTGGCAGCAAAGAAAAAAGAAAAAAGAAAAAAGAAAAAAAGAGTGCCCGTCTCAAAACCATGCCCAATAAACATCAGCAAAGTAAGCTCAGCTGAGAAGGAGAGCTCAATAAAGCCAACGAGCCCATTGAGCTTTTGTGCTTTTCCTCCAAAACGACAACTCCCTTTTTTTTTTTTTTTCTTTTTTCCAGTGAATATGACATGCTAAATGATATTTATACATGCATAATCGTCTACCTGAATTCTTTGTCTAACAAGTTATTAGTACAATGCACTGCGATTTTTATAACGTTGTTACTGGAAGATGGTGGGCGAGGCAGAGAAAGATTGCAATGTTGATCAATCAGGTAGCCCTTCTTCGAAATAAGCTTTGTAGTGTAACCCTGTTCTTGTGCCGAGGAACGATGCTCGGTATGCATTTAAGTTTTCTACAGCGACAATAGTTTCTCAGGTTAGGAAACGGTCAGAGGAATCTAGTGGTAAGAGGATTGCTATTATTGAGGCTTGTGTCGTTTGTTTAGAGAATACTGAGGCTGATCATATCTTTTCGGTTGCGTAGATATTGTTTATCATGTGTGAAACATCATGTAGAGGGTTACATTGCTTTATGAGATGATGCCAAAATGCCATCACGAAGGGTGTTAGATTGAGATATTGTGGAAAGTTGCATGAAATTCTTGGCACCTAAGTTAATTGAGACGATGTGCCTCCGTATAAACGAAGCTTCGATTCCATTTTCAGATAAAATTTACTACCTGTATCCTAAATGCTCGGCATTGATGCCGAAGAATGAGGTTTCTGAATATGCTAAAAGTGCAGTTGCTGCTGGTTTGCAACGTTGCGGTCATAGGAGTTGCAGAAAATGTCAAACTGAAATCTCTGGCAACAAGGAACCTATGACGCCAATGTGTGAAGTGCAACCATATGATTGAACTTGCTGCAGGTCTTATACTCACCTCGCTTCTGCATTGACTTGTCTGATAATAGTTCAACGCATGGTTTTTGGCGTAGAAATGTTAGTTGATTTAAACCTACTATGAATCTAAAAATGCATAATTGTTATTACATGATGAATCCTCAAACCTAGATTGAAGGATGTGTAGGAGAAATTACAAGAAACAGCCTCTATTTACAGTTTGATACTTTCGTCCTCTGATTTCTGAAAGGCGCTTAGCATACTCAGGTAATGTTAAGCAGTGTTCCCTTGGAGAGTTCCAGCAAAATTCCATGAAATTGCCACTAATAATATCTAAAATATCTAAATTATTTTTGGGTTCAGTCCATCCGTAATTTAAAATAAATTATTTTTTATGTTGATGATATTTCATATTAATTAAAAAAAGTTATCAATAAAATTATGCTGATAATTTTTTTTTTATTTGGATGTGTCTTTTCTATTTATAAATCCATCAATTATTACATTACAATGAAATAGCCAAAGAAATAGCAATCAATGAGGATAAGATTTTTGATAACCAGTTACATTCGCGATTTTATCAATAAATTAATTTATTTCTAGCTAAAATATAATTAAACACAGGTGAAATATTTTTTTAGTATTATACAATATTTTGATGGTAGCGATTATGAGACAGTTTGTTATTGATAAGACTGTTTTATCTCTTCTTTATTTTTCTTTTTTTTCTCTAAAAATTTATTTTAACTATTTAAAATTTTAAAATTATTCGTTAAGTTATTAATATTTTAACTCTAATATTTATTTATTTTTTAATTATATTTTTTTCTTATCACTTTTATATATTTTTTATTTAGTTTTAATTTCATAATTCAATTTTAATTTGTAATATATTATTATTTTTAATCTCATCCTTATTATTTTATTTTCTTAATTTTATATATAATTTTTTTAATTTTATTTTTCAATCTCAATTTATAATATATTGTTTTTTCTAGCATTTAAATAATTATTCATCATTTTTTAAGTTTTCGATCCATCTCTCACGTTAATTTTAGTCAGGATAACATGATTATATTAGGGGTGTTCATTTTCGGTTCGGTTCGGTTTTTATAAAAAAAAATAACCAAACCAGAAAAAAACAATTTGAAAAAAAAAAAATCGAAACCGAACCGAAACCAGGTCAAACCGACCGGTTTCGGTTCGGTTCGGTTAGGTTTTTTAAGGGAAAAACTAGTTCAAATTGGTCTGGCTCGGTTTTTTCGGTTTGGCTCGGTTTTTCTTGGTTTTGGCTCGGTTTTCTCGGTTTTGGCTTCCGGTTCATGTTCGGTTCGGTTCAATTCGGTTTTTTGGTTATAAAACCGAAACCGAACCAAACCGGCTGATTTTTTCAAAATTTTAATCGGTTTTTTTTTGGTTCGGTTTTTTCGATTTTTTTTCTTCCAGTTTTCTCGATTTAATCGATTTTTTGATTTTTTTGAACACCCCTAATTATGGTGCTAGAAGCCCCCTGACAGTAATTATGGTGGAAGACTTTGAAGCCCTTTATGCGCATTGCTTTTGTGTATTTTATTTGTATCGAATCACACTCAACATTTTTGTTTATATAAACTCCTCTATTTTACTCATTAAAAATATATTTATTTTTTGAAACATAACTTTTTTATATTTTTTTATCATTAAAAAATTTAATTAATATAAAATATTTTTTAGTTAAAAAAAAATTTAACTTAGTTTTTAGTAAAGTGTTTTTTTTAAAATATTTGAGTAAAAAACTTTTTTCAGAAGTTCTAAAAAATTTAAAAATATTATATTATTTATTAGTTATATTAAATTTAGTCCTTAAACTTTTTATTGCTATATATATTTTGTTTTAAATATTTATTTTTCAATTTCATCTCTTAAAATTTAATTTTTATATTAACTTTGGTTCTCATTTTTATAATTATTATTTGTTTTTTACTTATTATTTTTTTGTTGAAATTTTTTATCTATTAAATTTGATCCTAATTCTTTTGATTGTTCCTTATTTTATTAGAAATAATTTATAAAATTTTAATTGTTATTATTTTAATTTCTTCATCTTTTATTTTTTAGATTTGATCTTTATAATTTTGATTATTATTTATTTTATTTGAGATAATTTATGAAATGTTTTTTTCAATTTCATTCTCATTCAACTTTTTAATTCGTGAGATTTGTTTCTTATTATTTTAATACACTTGAGAAAATAAAATATTAATAAGTTATTTTTCATGACATAACCAAATACTAGAAAATATTTTTTAACTTATTTTTATTATATTATCAAATATCAAAAATTAATTCATTTTTTTTTTAAAAATTACTTTTCAATAAATAAATAACGCTTAAAAAACTAAAGGTTAGTTTACTTTTAAAAAGAGAGATTATTAAGAAAAATGGCATCAATTATGTGTTTCTTAACCATGCAAATGCTTTTGCTCTATTTGTTGTCATTGTTTCATCTTAGAGCTAGTTATTCTTCTTCTTCTATAAGGATACTAGCATGCAAATCTGACAAGATAAAAAGTAAGGGACAAGATAAAATGAGAAATGGAACACACAAGAATTTACGTGATTCACCCAATTAGGCTACGTCAATAGGCAAGTATAGAAGGATTTTACTAAGTAATATGGGAATACAACTTCTCTCTAATAATAGGAGAACAACAAAAAACTCTCTATTATTAGGAGAAAACACCTCAATTACTATCTCACAAATACCTCACAATTTTATGGGATTACTTTCTCCTCACCCTCTCTTCTTTCTCTCTACTTGCTCTCAAGTTTCTCTCTTGTGGTGTGTATAATGCTTGGATGCATTGCTTATTTATAGGCAAGTATCAATGCAAAAGACAAGGGGTTAGGCAAATAGCACCAATTTGGTGCGTAGAATTTTTGACTAAGGTGTAAAAGGATGGCTACACCTTCTCCCACCATTATTGACTTAAGTGGTGGCTTCACATTCTTTAAGTGGTGGCTTTACATTCTCCCACTTGAAGACTTTGATAATTTAATCAAGTTTTCACAGTTGATCATCTGTGATTCTTCTATCCTTTCTATACTTGTTATCTTCATGTTGCTTACATTTCTACTAGTCCGTAAGAGGATCTGCACCATAAATACTTATCAGTGTTGACCAGTTTGGTCAAAACATCTGTTGAGTTTTCCTTTGTGTGAATCTTCTGAAAATCCACACTTCCATCTTCCACCACTTCGCGAACAAAGTGATACTGAACATCTATATGTTTTGTTCTTGAATGAAACGTTGGATTCCTTGCAATATACAAGGCACTTTGACTATCACAATACAAAAGAATATTCTCTTGCTTGTGCCCGAGTTCCTCCATAAGTTTCTTCATCCATATTGCTTCTTTACAAGCTTGTGTAGCTGCCATGTACTCAGCTTCTGTTGTGGA